TATTAATATTCTAAACCACCTCATACTAAAATTGGAGTCAGATATGAGTTAAGTTTAATATAAATCAACATTGTGCACTGGAAAGAACGAACATGCAGTGAACCTTCATCCACCATTGGATACCGTCATTGGACCAACTGGCTGGACTCTACAATTGTGTATAAGATGATCTGTTTTCAAATTGTATTTCTATCTAAATTGTCTGTTATCTGTATCTAAATTGTGAATGCTGTGTAAAAAGATGCCTGTGATGGCCTCCAGTATTCCATATCAGAGATGCTGTAAGGGCTGATGCATATGTGCTGGGAAAATAATGCAAAAGTTTAAATCATCTTCATCAATCATGGATATTTTATAATGTATCATATGATTTTAAAATAACATAATACAGAAAACCCAGCCATATTTGCAGACCCCTGTATAGTACACTGTTAACCCTTATTGTAGATTATGCAGTAAATAACTGTAAAATAGCCAGTGTTTTGCTGTATTAAAAGGAAACATTATTTTACTGTAAAAGGAGCAGGATTTGTATTAAATTTTGTAGTGCAAAGAATAAATTACAGTAATTTACTTTATGTACCCATTACAGATAGTTACTGTGATAATAAATGGTAAATTACTGCTCAACCATTATTACCCCATGTACTGCTTTATGTTGCTATATATATATATATATATATATATATATATATATATATATATATATATATATATATATACTGTTCAGTTTTGGTATGTGTATGGTCAGTATTGAGGAGAAAGTGAGACAATGCATTGATGATAAGCTAAATTTCTCTGCAGCCATCTCTGTGTTTTCTTTGGTTCCTTTTATGTTTTTAACATTGAGTATCAGAAGTCAACCAATGTCAATGTCACAGAGCTAATTAAAAGGTAAAGATATCGACGAGATGCATTTAAAGGCAAAAATATTCACACAGAGCAACCAAATTATCACAATCATTTTTATAACTTTGTTTACTATTCTATAATTAATTTAATTTGCCTAGTTTAGCCAATAGTTAAGCTTTTAAATTGCACTTTAAGCTGAATATTAGCATTTTGCTAATTAACTAGTAAAAATGTGTTATTTAAAAAATATGTTAAACAGCACGTACATACATTTTCGCAGAGACTCAATGAATTTGTTTGGAAAACTTCAAATGAAGTAGGTAAAAATGGCATTAACAGTATAGTATAAAGACTTTCCTAAATAAATGTATTAATCAGGTTATTTGTTTTTTATTATTATTATTACTACAGGTTTGGAACAACATGAGGATCAGATTATTTTTTTATTTTTTATTTTTTTTGCTTTGGATGACATTTGTATATTATTTGTATATTATTGTTTTTATTCAATGATATGTGCATGATTGTGATAAATGTAGGCAATTCCTTTGAAAATATGCTATGCACCAGGGGTGTCAAACTCCTGGAGGACCGCAGCCCAGCAGAATTTAGTTCCAGCCCTTCTTCAACACACTACCTTTAGATTTAGTTTGATCAGGTGTGTTTAATTAGTATAACTGCACTGTTACTCTGTAGATTGTGCAGTAAATAACTGCAAAATAGGCAGTGTTTTGCTGTAATAAAAGAAAACATGTATTATTTATTAACACATTATTTTACTGTTAAAGGAGTAGACTTTGTATGAAATTGTGTAGTGCAAAGAATTAATTCCAATAAATTCTCTGATGGTTTATGTTGCTATTTATAGAGACGTGCATTTTAAAGGCAGAAAATAATGATTTAGGCATCACCATACACTCCCACAGGCTGTCTGTCTTATTCTAAACACAAAGGTGTTAGAAATAGTTTTCAGAAAATGCTGGCCCTTTAAGGGAGCCAGGTTTTTGATTTGTTTTCTGCTGAGTGTGCTCTATTCTCTGTCCATCAATTCAGATGTAGAGTCTGATATGTTTTAGGCTTTAAATAAGAATCTATAATGAGTAAGTAAAATGTGTTCAAATGTTTTTGAGGGTTTCTAAAATAAGGCTGTGTTTTAAGTTATATTGTTGTTATCTTGAACTGTGTACTTGAAAGCTACATTGTTAGCTAGTTAGCCTCTCCTCATATAACTTCTTACATTACTTTTGTTTAAGTATTTATTGGATATTGCATACTGCCATAATGTACAGATGCTAACAGTTGTATGTATCTTTCTGGCAACTAAGCCAAAATTAAATTTCATCATCTCAGTAAGGTAACATGTGCACATCATCACAGGGAATCACAAAAACATGATACACATAGCCATCCACACACAAAAGGTCCACTGTCCGGTCCCAGGTTGTGAGTTAGTTGCTAAGTATTTTTCAGAGCTGTGTTTCCACCTATGAATTTATATTAGAAACAATAATAAAGTTTGTTGTCATGAGATAATTATAACAATAAAAGATTGGATCCTTTGGTTTTTCGGTGTTGCCAACTTTATTTTTTATAATTACTTACTACAATTTTTATTGAGATTTAACACAGTTTTTAATTATTTAAAACTTTAAACTTTAAAATAATTATGTTGTGTTTTTTGCTGTTCATTTGCTGATCTACCTTCCTGCAGATTTTAGTTGCTATTCATTTCTTCTTCTTCTTCCTGGTGTTTATTGGCGGTTCGCATTCTTATCAGAGCATTACCGCCACCTACTGTGGGTTATGGATCAGAGACTCTCTTATTTTTATTTATTTATATATATATATATATATATATATATATATATATATATATATATATACATATATATATATATATATATATATATATATATATATATATATATACATATATGTATATTTTTTACCTCTTGACTCTTCAAAACCCGAGCCTTCGATGTTGCTGCGTGTTCAGCTCCTCCATCTACAGCTCAGGTCCTTCACAGCCGAGACATAGAAAACATAGTAGATGAGAGGAGAAAGCTTAATATTGTTATAAATAAAATAATAATTAAGTTAATTAAATAAATATATTTAGACATTCTATATCCTATGTATTAACTGAGTTCTTTTTAAGAATTGAATCAACCATTTCTTTCCTTCCTGATATAAAAACTCTTTCAGTGTTATTTGTTCATCATTTATCTGTAGGTCATTAATTAACATATTTCTTTCCTCTGTGTATTTATTGCAACTAATGATTACATGTTCTACTGTCTCTCTTTCTTGCTATTCATTTCAAACACACCTAAACCAATTAATTAGGACCTGAACACCACTTGATAATTACAGGCAGGTGTGTTTGATATGGGTAGCAACTGAAATCTGCAGGATGGTAGATATCCAGGAACAGGATTGAGCACCACTGCTGTATACCATGGGGGTCAAACTCCAAGTTCCTGGAGAACTGCAGGGCAGCAGAGTTTAGTACCCACCCTGCTTCAACATTACCTGTAGATTTCTAACAAGCCTTAATTAGTTTGATCAGGTGTGTTTAATTAGAGTTACAGCTTAAAGTCCCTGTCACACTGCACTTTTCTTCCTATAGACTTCCATTCATACGCATGTGAGTACTGCAGACCTGGAATGATAGCTCATGCGACAAATTTCATAATTCGCAGCATTGGAAAGTTCAAGCTTGGAGAACGCTGACATGCGAAATCACATCATGTGATTGCTTGATACCAATCAAAGATCAGAACATGACCTCTCTGGCTTGCTTTTTCAATCTCTAATTATTTTGTTTTATTCCACTACTCGCTTTGTTTAATTCCACTTCGCAGTGCAGTATGACAGAATTTTGCTTGCTCAAATGTTAGTGTGACCGCAGCCTTACTGTGCAGACCTGTAATATGCAAGACAATATTTATATCTGCTGATTTCTTAATTTTGAAATACTTTTTCTGTTATTTATTTGTTTGGTGCCAAAACAATAAAATAAATTTGTCTGAAAAATGTTATGCCTTCTATTTTTAAATAACAGCTAAGAATACTGATTAATTTTAGTAACACTACAATAACTATATATGACATACTATTAATGTGTATGCAGTATAATGCTGTGATTTGTAACACTACAATACAGTAATTAACTGTTCACAGTTTCCAGTTAGTTACCACTGCTGCTCTATTACAGTAATTAACTGGCAACACTGTTGCCAGCTACTCCCTGTATCGGTTCAGTTACAGTAAATAACTGGCAACACTGTTGCCAGCCACTCACTGTAATGGTTCAGTTGCAGTAATTAACTGGCAACACTGTTGCCAGCTACTCCCTGTATCGGTTCAGTTACAGTAAATAACTGGCAACACTGTTGCCAGCCACTCACTGTAATGGTTCAGTTACAGTAAGTAACTGGCAACACTGTTGCCAGCCACTCACTGTAATGGTTCAGTTGCAGTAATTAACTGGCAACACTGTTGCCAGTTACTTACTGTAACCAAACTTTTACAGTGAGTGGCTGGCAACAGTGTTGCCAGTGTTCTACTGTAAAAAACCCTGGTAAGGTCTAACAGTGTAATGAAGTCATTCCCACAAATACAAAAAGAAACACGAGATTGTATTTTATTATCCAAATTTATTAAAAGTGCAAAAGAAAAGTTCTAAACATATTGTTAGACCTGCCTGACATAAAAATGTATACATATGCTTTGTACATAATAAATAAAAACACATTACTATCACTATAATTAGTTATAATATTATTGATAGCAGTTATAGATATAAGAATATATCTGTATATATTAACAAAAAATTGCTGCCTGGTCAAGCATTCAGATATATATATAAAAAAAAGTTCCTTTAAAAAGAACAAGGCTAACAATTAAAGTATAAAAAGCAACATTTGTAATCAAAAAGTAGTTATTAAAATACTTTAACCTAATATTATATAATTATTAAACATAAATAAAAAAACAAGAAAACAATCAACGAAATACTGTAAACTGTAAAACAATATAACATACATTTCTGCAACAAAACAGTGTTACAAAAATCAACAAATTAGTGTAAAACACTGTAAACTTAAACAAATGTTAATATAACATTAGTTTCTGCAACAACAATCAACAAATTAGTGTAAAACACTGTAAACTTAAACAATCAAATGTTAATAAAACATTAATTTCTGCAAAAAATAACAACAATCAACAAATTAGTGCAAACTGTAAACGGTTGCATTTTTGCAACAATAAATTACAATCTACAAATCAGTTTAAAACGATTTATACTCTGAAACAATCAACTGTTAATATTACATACATTTGTGCAACAATAAGTGTAACAACAATGAACAAATTAGTGCAAACTGTAAAAAACTGTAAACTTTAAAACAAATAAATGTTAATATAACATTTATGCATCAATAACAGTGTTGCAAAAATTAACAAATTAGTGTAAAACACTGTAAACTCTCAAACAACCAACTGTTATTATAACATATACATTTTTGCAACAATAACATGGATAGAGGTCCAGTTAGACAGACTCGGAGGCCTGAGACTGAGAGCCCAAGAGAACGTCCACAGCCCTTTTAAAGTCTTCAAAACAGTCAAACGTCTGCCCAGCAAGGTTTGTGAATGTGGAGGCTTTGGAGCTCTCACAGTAGCTCTTCTTTCTGTATTTCTTGTGGCCTTGAGTTGGTTGGCCACACAGAGCACAGATGTAAACCTTCACTGAGGTTGGATGTCCAGAGCCACTGAGTTCTGCCTTTTTCCTCTTTTAGACTGTTGATCTTGAGGGCAACAGTGGCGGAGTGGATGCCTGCGGCAAGGAAACAGCGGGAGGTGCAGTCAGCGGAGTGTGTGTGTGCCGGAGACCTGCGGGCATTGAATGGGCCGGCGCAGGAACTGGTTGAGCAAGAGCAGAGGGAGGGACAGGTAAGATTTGCGGGAGCCTTTGCTTCAACTTTCGGGTGCCGGCCAGAGAAGTGGTGATAGGATATTGCACTGGAGGCCGGCTGGTATGGGGTCTTTCTTCTGGAAGCTCCTCAGCGGGGGGCTGGCTGGTGCTGGAGACGCTCTGGTGACGACGGAGGACAGACAGACCCTGGTCGATGACATTTGTGGCTGACAGCGCCTCCTGCCTCCTGATGAACTCGCTCACGCACTTTGAATTTATTTTCAGGATGGGAATCCCAAGTTTGCTGAGCTGATCATCGTCCACCGTCACTCTCTGCTGCACACGCTGGTACAGTTTAGTGATCTGCTGTTTCAGCGGTGACCCTTTAGCTTTTCCTCCAACACCAGGATGAAGCCACAGCTGTTTGACCAGGCAGTACATCAGCCGGTCCTTTCTGGAGTCCACCAAGTGTGCGGCTGAGTACCGCTTGCTGAACTTGAACTTCTGCACCAGGGACGCCTCAGTCGGATCTCCACTGGTGCGGCCAAACAGAGCATTGCCCCAGCGTGCAGAGTAGAGGCTGTCGAATTGTTGGATGCTGCGGTCATCGAGGTCAAGCTTGTTCAAGGCGCTGATGATCTTCCCAGGTTTGTTGTACTGGCTGAGAAGAGTGGTGTACAAGTCCTTTCTCTGCAGATAGTCCCCGCAGTGGCTCTCCTGCACCTGTCTCCAAACCTTCACCATGGTGTTTCCCTCAGTGCGATCCCTCATCAGACGGATCACCTGCTTGTCCACGCCACGCCTAGAATCATAGGAGCAACACAATCATTAGATGATGGTGAATCTTAACTTTTTTTAAGACTCTGCATAATTTCACAATGATTTGTATTCTGCTAGAGACTCACCGTAGCGTCAAGACAGCAGGAAACACCGCTCTGTGAGCTGGACTGAGCTGGTTAAGGATGCACTGATCCCATAACAGGTAACGACCAAAAGTATGCTCTTCCGACTCCTTTGCAGCCTTTCTACAGGCGTCGCATGCTAGGACCTCAGTCAGCATGGAGTACCAGCCAGACATGTGGCAGATCTGTCTTAACGTGGATGAATAGCCACAACGGTGGAGAAAAGCCTTCTGATTGGTGCGTGCTGGGCAGTCAGACCTTGGGCACCGAAGACTGTAACGCCACACACCGACTGGTCTCCAGAAAAAAACGGAGCTGCGAAAAAAGCTGAGGGGACTTTTCCTTCCACCACTCCAGGAAATTCTGGAGGGTGAAACCACATCCGGTCATCCTTCAGGACTTTCCTCCACTTTCTGTTTCCATATTTGTCTTTATAAGACATGGCCCTCTGAAAGAGTCCCCTTTTAGCATTCTCCTTCAGCCACAGTATGTCCAGACTCCCACATCTTGTGCCAACCCTTAAATGACACCTGGTAATTAGAATAACCGAGACAAAACGGTGTTAAAATCAATTAAAGTTGATTTTTTTAGTATTAAAGTATAAATTTTTCTTATCTTAACATCCACAGAGTACTTTGACAGTTACCTCAGAATGTGCTGGGTCACTGTGTGTTGACCCACCAGATGACCTTCTAGGTTGAACGTCAGAAGAAGCCAAGGCAGGAACTGATGAGGCTGATACAGGACCTGATGAAGAAGACAAGGCAGGAACTGATGAGGCTGAAACAGGAGCCGATGAAGAAGCCAAGGCAGGAACTGATGAGGCTGATACAGGAGCTGATGAAGAACCCAAGGTAGGAACTGATGAGGCTGATGCAGGAGCCGATGAAGAAGACTGGCCAGGAACTGATGAGGCTGATGCAGGAGCCGATGAAGAAGACTGGCCAGGAACTGATGAGGCTGACGCAGGAGCCTCCAATAAAGAAGTCGATGCAGGAGCCTTCAACAAAGTAAGTATAATAGGTAAAACCTTTTTCATTGACATATTCATACTTTTTGCACAGTCTCCCCATCTATGCTCACAAAACTGTATTCAGGAGTATATACACCACCTAATTGTGATGTACAAACGATGAACTTACAGCAGACAGTGGAGAGTCTGAGTGGGGCTTCTGTGAAAGATCTTCACAGGAACGTTTTCTTCTCTTTGCTTCCCCGGCTCCTAAATGAGCACAGTTGTGATTATCAGAACACAGTGTCTTAGTGTGACGACTTTTATTTATTATTGCATACAGTTGAAGCCGTAATTATAAGCCCCCCTGTTAAATTTGAGTTTATTTTTCACAATTTATGTGTAATGGAGAGAGGACTTGTTCAGGCACATTTCTAAACATAATAGTTCTAATAACTAATTTCTAATAATTTATCTTTACCATGATGACAGTATATAATATTGGGTCACACTTTACAATAAGGTTTCATTAGATAATGTATTAATAACATGAACTAATTATGAACAATGCTTGTACAACATTTTTAATCATAGTTCAACATGTACTAATGCTTTATTAAAATAATATTTAATGCTTAGTTGATGGACTGTGAGTTGGCATGGATGACTGTAACACGAACAAATACTGTATTAAGTGTATTGTTCATTGCTTGTTTATCCTAGTAAATGCTTTGACATTAACTGATACAAACTTATTGTAAAGTGTCACCCTTTAAGGTAACACTTTAGAGTAATAGTCCATTAGTTAATATTAGTTAATGCATTTACTGACATGACTTAGAAGTTTAATACATTAATTACAGTATTCATTCATCTTTGTTAACGATTTAATGTTTAAGTTAAATAACGTTAGTTCATTAATGCACTGTGCATTAAGTAATGTCAACAAGCACAACTTTGGATTTTAATAATGCATTAATGTTGAACTGTAATTAATAAATGCGGCACAAGATTGGTGACACTTAGTGTTAGTAAATTGATTAACTAAAGGACTATTATACTGAAGTGCTACCATATTCAGATTGAGAAAGTAAAGGCTTAACTAGCTTAACATTGTTTGTTCTGTAGCCAATAGAAAAACATAAATAATAAAACAAATAAAACTTTCTTCAGAAGATAATATACTATCGTAAGTACTGTGAAAATGTCCTTGCTCCATTACCTTTAATAAATATTTCACAGGAGCGCCCTCAACTGTAGTTCATGCTGCAACAGTATGAATAAATGTTAATAAGTGACATTTATTATGTGATATACCTTGTCTTTCAGAGGAGCTGAGTGGTTTCTTCGGCAGACCGCCTTTGTCCTCAACTGTTAAAGAAGGACAAAAAAAAAAAACACAAGATAGGCAAAAGTCAGTGTCAAAGCAGCAAGAAGACAATCTCATCAGCACAGTGTTTTGATGTTGTGTTTCATTGATTATGCTATGGTACATAAACAATTAAAGACAATAATAAAGGGTTATACACACTGCAAATTTTAGATTGTAGATTTAACTACCTTAGAGTTCAAATGAACACTCCCTCAGTGTTTATATGGGAACCACTATAAAAGTGTTAAAATAACATTTTACCACTCAGAGAGTGTTAATTAGCAAAATCTTATTGTGTAAAATATATGTAAAATGTATATCAAAACACTGGCAGCAGTAGCCAAAACCAAAGATGAAATCAACTGAGAATAAAACTTTAAATAAAATAATAATGAATAAAAAAATAAACAAACCACTGAAGCTTTAACAACTAATGACTTTAAAAGCATGATTTACAATCTGAATGTTTGATCTATGGCAGCACTTAAAAACACACAGACATCAACAATTAGCAATTAACAAAAAATGAAAAACTTTTGAAAAATTGCAAAAAATCACAATAAATGAAAATTTTTTGAAAAATCGCAAAAAATCACAAAAAATGAAATTTTTTTGAAAAATCGCAAAAAATTGAAATTTTTTGAAAAATCACAAAAAATGAAAATTTTTTGAAAAATCGTAAAAAATCACAAAAAATGAAATTTTTTTGAAAAATCGCAAAAAATTGAAATTTTTTGAAAAATCACAAAAAATGAAATTTTTTTGAAAAATTGCAAAAAATTGCAAAAAATGAAATTTTTTTGAAAAATCACAAAAAATGCAAATTTTTTGAAAAATCACAAAAAATGAAATTTTTTTGAAAAATTGCAAAAAAATCTCAAAAAATATATATTTTTTGAAAAATCACAAAAAATGAATTTTTTTTGAAAAATTGCAAAAAAATCGCAAAAAATAATTTTTTTTTGAAATATCGCAAAAAATGAAAGTTTTTTGAAAAATCGCAAAAAATCACAAAAATAAAAAAGTTTTTGAAAAATTGCAAAAAATCACAATAAATGAAATATTTTTGAAAAATCGCAAAAATTGAAAATTTCAAATCACAAAAAATGAAAATTTTTTGAAAAATTCAAAAAATCCCAATAAATGGAAAATTTTTTAAAAATCGCAAAAAAATCACAAAAAATGAAAATTTTTTGAAAAATCACAAAAAATTTTTTTTTGGAAAAATCCCAAAAAATCACAAAAAAATGAAAATTGAAAAATCACAAAAATATATATTTTTTTGAAAAATAGCAAAAAATCACAAAAAATGAAAATTTTTTGAAAAATCACAAAAAATGAAATTTTTTGAAAAATCACAAAAAATAAAAATTTTTAGAAACATCACAAAAAATGAAATTTTTTGAAAATTCGCAAAAATGATTTTTTTTTTGAAAAATAACAAAAAATCAAATTTTTTGAAAAATCACAAAAAATTTAAATTTTTTGAAAAATCACAAAAAATCACGAAAAATGATTTTTTTTAAAAAATAACGAAAAATCACGAAAAATGAAAAAATTTTGAAAAATACAGATAGTGCAAAAAAATGACAGTGCAAATACAACGACAGTACAAATAACACAAATAAAATGACAATGTGAAATTGACAGCGATATGTACAATGAATAGGTGTCCACATAGTTGTAGGCAGTGTTGTTTCAAGTATGGATTGGCTAAAGGTCAGTGCATGCTACATATCGATGGTGTGCAGTGAGGGTATGGAAGAGTCTGTGTGTTGTGTATTAAGTGTTCATCAGCCTGATAGTCTGAGGGAAGAAACTTTCCTTTAGCCGGCTGGTGCGTGACCAGATGCTGCGGAACCATCTGCCTGAGGGTAGCAGACGGTTTTGTCTGTATAATTGTACATGTTAAACTAATTTAAATTAGAAGTCCACTAAATGTTCATTAACTAAAGTCCCAGCAAAAGGTGCTACAATTAATGTAGAAATGCCAAGGTTCCACTGCTTTTTCTGTGATAGCAGTAGGGCTCGTCCGGGGATTGAACCCAGGACCTCTCACATCCTAAGCGAGAATCATACCCCTTGCCCAACGAGCCCTGAAGAAAGATTCTGCAGTGCCAAAAAAAATTCTTACTTTTTTATAAATACTTTTTGTTCTTGTTGTTTTTAGTATGGGCCACCTGGGTTGCCTTTGATGCAGTTCCTTTTAAGTTGGCTGTGCAGCACAATCCAGTGTGACCTTCAAAAGCTAGGTTCATACCCTTATGTCAAAAAGACATGACAATGGAAAACTTCAGAGAAGCTGTTTTGTCATTAGGTGTACACACCAGATCGTCTGAATGCAATATGGTATAGGGATCCTTAAGTGCTGTTTTCTAGGTTAAAAGAACTTCCGGAGTCATACAACAGATATGGCAAATGCTAGTATTGGCCCAGTGGCCTAATGGATAAGGTATCACTCTTTGAAGTTGGGGATTGTGGATTCAAGTCCTGTTTGGGTTGTGTTTGTTAGGTTACATTTAAGTTGTGTGAAAAAATCCTGACTTGTCTGCTCAAAGCTTAGGTGTGATGATCTGAGGGCAATAGTTAGCTTCGAATTCTCAGACTTGCTGCACACTTCAATTAGGATTCATCCAATCTTGCTTGAATCTCACTGTCATGTTACAAACCTAAAAGGTTCGAGATCCTAAAGTGCAGTTTTCCATGCGGTAGCATCTTGTTGAAGGCATACAAGAGATCCTTGATAGAAGATTGGTGACATGGCCCGGTGGCCTAATGGATAAGGCATCAGCCTCCGGAGCTGGGGATTGTGGGTTCAAGTCCCACCTGGGTCGTTCTTGAAAATCTCCCTTTAACTTGAGATCAGTGTTTGGTGGATGAAACACAGTAGCGTTGAAAACCTTCTTGAGATGTGTTTGCGTGTCATTAACTTCCTTCATTGGCATTCCATACTACCTGTTATGACTAAAAGGGTAACGAGATACGTAACGAAAATGGCCATTTTGAAGCCTGCATGGTGCCTACAGAGAAGAGACTGTGTACAAATACAAAGATGATGCTTACATATTAAGCTGGTACGTTGTTCAAGATCCATAAACAATTCTAACCACCGAATCATTCCCGCTCCTTTTTTTGTCTGTATTATTGTACAGGTTAGACTAATTTAGATCAGAAATCCACTAAATCTTCATTAACTAAAGTTGCTACAACTAACACAGAAACACCAAACCATCACTGCTTTTCTGTGAAAGATGTAGGGGTCGTTCAGGATTTGAACCTAAGACCTCTCACACCCTAAGCAAGAATCATACCCCTAGACCAATGAGCCCAGAAGAAACACTCTGCAGTGTCAAAAAAAAAAATTCTGTAAAACCGGTCCAATCTACTTTTTGTTCATGTAGTTTTTGTTATGTGTGTCAGCAACTCCCTGGATTCATGTTACAGTTCACAGGCAGTATAGCAACAGCATGGTGGCCTAATGGATAAGGCACCAGCCTTCAAAGCTGGGGATTGTGGGTTCGAGTCCCACCTGGGTTGTCTTTGACGCAGTTCCTTTTAAGTTGGCTGTGCAACACAATCCATTGTGACTTTCAAAAAGCTAGGTTCATACTCTTAGGTCAAAAAGACATGACAATGGAAAACTCTTCAGAGAAGCTGTTTTGTCATTAGTTGTACGCACCAGATCGTCTGAATGCAATATGGTGTAGGGATCCTAAAGTGCTGTTTTCTGAGTTACAAGAACTTCCTAAACCGTAAAACAGAAATGGCAAATGCTAGTATTGGCCCAGTGGCCTAATGGATAATGCATCAGCGTTCGAAGCTGGGAATTGTGGGTTTAAGTCCCATTTGGGTTGTGTTTGTTGGGTTAAATATAAATTGTGTGGAAAAAATCTTCACTTGTCCCCTCAAACCTTAGGCGTGATGATCTGAGGTCAATAGTTAGCTTCAAATTCTCAGACTTGCTGCACACTTCAATTAAGATTTATCCAATCTTGCTTACGTTATCCAATCACTTTACAAACATTAAAGGTTCTGAAAAGCTCTGGTAATGGAGATCTTGACTTCAAGTACCCCGTGGCTTTCAACTAATGGTCTCATGTTAGGTGGATGATAATGAAATGCAAACAAGAAAATAGCTGCAGAAAGGTTGTGATTTCATGTTAATGAGAGTGGCCTTGTCTGGAATTTGAAACCCAAGATCAGTCACACCATACCCCAGGACCAATAAGACACGAATGTGAATGCTTGCACAAAGAAAATGTTTGTCCATTAGTTGCACACATCTTATTTGACGAAATGCAAACTGGCATCGAGATCCTAAAGTGCAGTTTTCCATGCGTTGGCATCTTGTTGAAGGCATACAAGAGCTCCATGACAAAAGCTTGGCAACATGGCCCAGTGACCTAATGGATAAGGCATCAGCCTCTGGAGTTGGGTATTGTGGGTTCAAGTCCCATCTGGGTTGTCTTTGAAGGTCCACTATAGATTTAATTACAGATCATTTCAACCAATTATTGCAATGAAAAAAAACTGATGCATCAACACATCAAAGCACTCTCTTGCTGACGTGGGTGTGCACGTCTCCAACACCACTATAAGACGACACTATAGACATCAAAGCCCTGTAGGCCTTCCTAGAAAAACAACTGCAAGGCAAGGAAAATGAACAGGTATTGTGTATTATCATTTTGTCAAATCAAGTATTTCAGCAATACTTATGTCAAAATGTTAATAAAATTAATTAATAAAATTATTCTATGTGTTTGTTGTATAGTGCTGCACTTAAAACGATTGACGAAAAACTGCACAAGGACAATGAGCGATCTGCTAAAAAGATTCAGAGTGAGCTTCTGTTTAGAATACAGTTAAAAGCATCAGTCTGCAATATTAGAAAACCAGTAAAACAACTCAGGTGGACCTATAGAAAAGCCAGGTAAGCCATTTTGAACAATGCCATAATGAAAAGATTTATTTATTTACATTAATCCATGCATCTCTTTATTTAGGCTATTTGCTTAATACGAGCTTACATGTCCTACAAATTTATTAATAGGACATACCCTATTAATAAACCGCCATGTTGTAAAACCGAAAGCAAAGCATCCAGTAAAAATTCATGTCTGGGGAGCCATATTCCGTCAGGGACCAGGACCGCTAGTTGTGTTAGAAGGTTAGTTCAAATCTCTTTAATATGATTGAATCGTTTCTTTGCAGTTTCTTTATTTATATATATATTTTTTCTATTTTCAGGAATTATGGACAGCTGTTTTTACGAAGACACTATAATAAAATTCAATCAGGCTCCATACGTAAAACAACACTTTAAGAACCATATCACTTCTTCCAAGGTAGATACAGTATGTAGGCCTACTGTACCAACTGTGTGTGTGTGTGTATACATGTTCACTGATGTGTGTGTGTGTGTGTGTACATGTTCACTGATGTGTGTGTGTGCACACGTTCACTGCTGTGTGTGTTGAACTTTTTTATCAATCTTGATGATTATTGAATAATTAATAAAGTAAACACATTGCTTAAAGGGCACATAGTTTACCCCTTTTTTAATGATTTAACATTATTATTATGGTTCTTCTGAGTGTGCCAGTCTAGGTTCAGTTCAAAACACAATCCAGATTTTTTTATTATAATGTGTTATAATGTGTCATTTTAAGGGCGTGTACACAGCTCGCTGTTTTACATTTACATTTAGTCATTTAGCAGACGCTTTTATCCAAAGCGACTAACAAATGAGGACAAGGAAGCAATTATCACAACTATAAGAGCAACAATAAATAAGTGCTGTAGGCAAGTTTCAGGTCTGTAAAGTCTAAGAAGGAAAGCATTAGTAATGTAAGAATTTTTTTTTTTTTTTGAGTACAGTTAGTGGTATAGCTAGAGGCAATTGCAGATTAGGAAGTGAAGAGGAGACTAAATAGTTGAGTTTTAAGTCGTTTCTTGAAGACAGCAAGTGACTCTGCCGTTCTGTTGCAGTTAGGGAGTTCATTCCACCAACTGGGCAGATTGAATGCGAGAGTTCGGGAAAGTGATTACTTCCCTCTTTGGGATGGAACCACGAGGCGACGTTTATTCACAGAACGCAAGTTTCTTGAGGGCATATAAATCTGCAGAAGTGAGAGCAGATAAGAGGGAGCAAAGCCAGAGGTTGCTTTGTAGGCAAACATCAGAGCTTTGAATTTGATGCGAGCAGCAACTGGCAGCCAGTGCAAACGGGTGAGTAGAGGAGTGACATGTGCTCTTTTCAATTCATTAAAGACCACTCATGCTGCTGCGTTCTGGAGTAGCTGAAGGGGCGTGTTGCTTCGCATGAAAATTAGTTTCAAATTCAGTCGGTCGGTGAGTAAATGAATATGATGAATGAGAACACACAGGCATGTGCGTATAGACATAAAATGTAATGTTGTACAGTAACGTGTCAATTGTTTGTTTCAGTTGTCTTTATATGAAAGGTTTCGTGAGGATGTGATGGTGTGCTTTATCTGGCTGATTCCCGCTGAAGTGGGCGGGTTGTGTGACGTTTGATTCGGGGGATGTTATGGGGCGGGGTTTGCGTGACGTGCTGCGAGCTACTAGCCCGACAGTGGAAACGCAACATGATTTCGGCCTCACTGCTTAACCTCCTGGGCAATTGCCCCGGCTCATCCTGGCTCGCACTGGCCTCAGCTCACAGCCTAGAAGTCCAATGAACTATCCATTGCACCACAGAGCTCCTGCCTCTAGCACTGTTGCACAGAAAGCAATTTTTGGTACTCTCTGGCCCATAAAAGCACAGCTCACTGCAGATAAAGTACTGCTGGGATTCATACATAGGATCTTCTGTTTACTAGACAGGTGTTTTGACCAACTAAGCCACAAAACCAGACAGGGGGTATCTGTTTAATCGAAAAAAGAAACGGTAAAAACGGTAGCACTGCATGTTTGAATGTCTAGACTTAAAAATTTTAAAGTCCAATTGGTTACGCATCACCATACCATGCTATATAATGCCATCGTCCAAAACCCTCTTAATAGTACAATATTAAAATTGTTTTATTATTTAATATATAATCAAGGTTTCCCTTCTTAAACCAATTAACCTCTCTCTATAAAGCTTCAAAAATTGCAACAAATGAACACTCCAATGAAACAATGTACAAATAAAATAAAAATGAAAATAAAACATTTACTTAAAACATTTCAAATTTTCCCAAAAGTCCAGTACAGGTGATGAACACTCAAAAAGATTATTTTGCAAAACAACTAGGTTGCACATTCAGTTCCAGAGATCCATGATGTTGCACTTGTGAGTGTGTTGTAAATTTACACTCTTACCATGACGCTGAATAGGTTTCACTTTGTATCTTTCCAACAGGTGTATCCAAAAAATCCACTTAATGGGAGGCTCGCCAGTCCAACTCCACAATTAGACACGCACCGATGGAAGTTGAGACAATCCAAATCCAGAAAAGAGTTCACACTTCAATTAATTTGAATGCAGAGCAGATCACATTCAGCAACTGACTTCAATAGAACATCTCACCGATGAAAAACCAGAAGAAGATGCACAAGCAAACAAACAAAGGGGAGAAAAAACCATTAGCATTTTACAGTGTATGCATTATCTCAGCTTAACACATTTGTAAATAAACAGCAACAATAAATGACCATGTATATGCTTCTCTCTGCTGAATTTCTGTGTTTTTCCTATTTCTTTCTCCTATTTGGCATTTTCTTTTTACAAATGACAGCATTTTACTTAAACTCTCTCACTTAAACTTTACACAATCACTTGTATAATACTGTGTATAATACTGTGTTTTTACTAGACCAAAAAAATGGTTAATTAATGAAACACATTTTTGACACTAGTTTTAATCATGTTATAATGAAAACAATAAAAAAAAAAACACGAACTCACCAAGGAAATCATTCAAAATCAAAGCGAAAAGCCAGGAAAACTCCAGGGGGCACTCGTGTGCAGATTTCACTCACAGATACAAATCTTGTTTTTTTCTCTCAATCCTTCATTAAAGATATATGATAGAAATCATTTCAGCATCTTATTAATGGTCAGTTTTCACAGTTAATACACATTTAAAACATTAAAATATATATTTACATTTACATTTAGTCATTTAGCAGACGCTTTTATCCAAAGCGACTTACAAATGAGGACAAGGAAGCACTTACACAACTAAGAGCAACAATGAATAAGTGCTGTAGGCAAGTTTCAGGTCTGTAAAGTCTAAGAAGGGAAGTATTAGTAGTATTAGTATTAGTATTTTTTTTTTTTTGTGGGTACAGTTAGTGTGATATTCAGAGAGGCAATTGCAGATTAGGAAGTGAAGTGGAGACTAAATAGTTGAGTTTTTAGTCGTTTCCTGAAAGTAGCGAATGACTCTGCTGTTCTTATGCAGTTAGGGAGTTCATTCCACCAACTGGGCAGATTGAACGTGAGCATTCGCGAAAGTGATTTCTTCCCTCTTTGGGATGGAACCACGAGGCGGCGTTCGTTCACAGAACGCAAGTTTCTGGAGGGC